GAAGCCATGGTCCATCATGGCAGGGCACACATAGACCTTTGAATGCTCTGAGAAATGAATATTGAACAGTGTAACTCATGGCAGAAGGTGGAATACTTAAAAAGCAGGACTGCCTGGGTCAAGTAAAAGGTGAACAAACAGCCTGTAGCGTGTGGCTGGCTCCTCTTCCCTTCCCATCCCCACCTTTCACTTTTCTCTCTTTCTTTCCCTCCCTCCCTCCCTCCTTCTCTCTTTCCCTTCCCTCCCACTCTCCTTCCTTCCTTTCCTTCCTCTCCCTTCCTTTCCTCTCCCTCCCTCCTTCCTTCTTTCTTTCCATCTTTCTCTTTCCCTCTTTCTCTCCCTCCCTCCTTCCTTCTCTCCTTCTTTCTTTCTCTCTCATTTCCTTCTCTCTTTCTCTCTCCATCTTTCTCTCCCTCCATCCTTCCTTCTCTCATTCTTTCCTTCTCTCTTTCCTTTGTCCCCTCCCTCCCTTCCCTCCTTCATTCCTTCCTTCCTTCCCTCTTTTCTTCCTCCCTGCCTTCCTGCCTTCCTTTCTTCTCTCTTTCTTTGACTGATATGTTCTGAGCCCAAGCACCCTACTAAGTGGTACCAAAATTGACTCAAGAATCAAGAAGAAATAGAAAATCTAAGTAGTACTATAATATGAAAAAAATAAAATCTCTAGTAAAATAAAATCTTTCAAAAAGGAAAGACTAGGCCCAGATGGTTGTATGAGCAAATTTTACAAACTTTCAAATAATGGATCATTCTAATTATGTCCCAAACAACTGTAGCTAGGAATACTAATGCTTGATTTTTCAAGAGTCTCATTTCCTAAAATCTGTAGGTTCAAAGGCAGATTGGCATGTGTTGGAAATCCTCAAATGTTGTGCAGTTCCTTGGAGTTTTAGCATTAAGAAAGGCCTTGCCTGCATTAACTTTGAATTTTGTAAGTTACCAGTTAATAGAGATACTCTCTGCATTTACACCTGTCTCTTATACACATCTAGATGTGTATAAGAGACAGATTTAATATAGTACTGAAGGTTCTAGTTAGCTAAAACAATAAGGCAAGTAAAATAATAAAAGATATTCCGATTTTTAAAAAAGTAAAATTTTCTGTTCGCAGATGACATAATCTTATATATTAAAAATACTTTACTTTCTGTGAGATAAACTATCAGATGCAATAAATAACATTCAGCAAAACTACAGGATACAAAATCAACACACAAAAATCAGTTGTATTTCTACAATAACAAACTATCTGAAGAAATCAAGACAACAGTATCATTTATGATAGCGTCAAAAAATAAAATATTTAGAAACCAACTTAACCAAGGAAATGAAAAACTTGCATAGCAAAAACTATAAACATTGCAGAAAAATATTAAAGATGACACAAATAAATGAAAAAACATCATGTGTTTATGGATTGGAAGACAAAACCTTGTCAAGATGCCATTGTTATCTATAGTCACCTACAGATTCAATAAAATCACTATAAAAATTCCAATATTTGAAAAAATAGAAAATCCTATTCTAAAATTCAGATGAAATCTCAAAAAACCCCAAGTAGCCAAATCAATCTTAAAAACTAACAAAGTTAGAGAACTAACACCTCCTGGTTTCAAACTTACTGTAATGCTTCAGTGCCCAAAATGATGTTGTACCAGCATAGAGATAGACATAAAGACCAATGCAATAGAAAAAAAGAACCAAAAAACATGGTCATGATTTTTAACAAGGGAGTCAAAACTATTCAATGGGGAAAGGACAGTATATTTTTTAATGGTGTTAAAAATGAATTTTTACATGGAAACCAATAAAGCTGGACCCTTGCTTTACACCATATAAAAAACTTAATTTAAAATGGACCAAACATCTAATTGTAAGAGCTAAAACTATAAAACCCTTAGAAGAAAACACAGGAAATATGTTTCATATCGTAGAATCTGGCAATAATTTCCTGGATATGACAGTGAAAGCACAGACAACAACAACAAAAATACATAAAAAGAACTTCATCAAAGTGAAAAGCTTTTATGTATCTGAAGATACAATCAATAGGTTGAAAATAAATTCACGAAGGGAAAGAAAATATCCATACATTATATATTTGATAAGTAATAACCAGGCTATATAAAGACCTCAGCAATAACAACAAAACAATCAAATTTAAACATGAGCAAAGGTTTTAAAATACACATTTCTTTAAAGAAGACAGATAAATGACCAGTAAGCACAGTATAAACTGCACAGCATCACTAATCATGAGAAAAATGTAAATCCAAACCGCAACGCAATACCAACTGACACATGTAAGTGTAGCTGCCATCAAAAAAACCACCAGCAGCAAACCGAAACAACAAAGCCCCAGAAAACAGCAAATGCTGGATGTGGAGAAGTCAGGACTCCTGCACACTGCTGGGGGAAAGTAAGATGCCACAGCCACTGTGGAAAACAGTAATCACCACATGATCCAGTAATTCCACATCTGGGTATATACGCCAAGAAACCGAAAGTGGGAATTTGCACACCCATGTTTATAGCAGCATTCACAAGAGCCAAAGGGTAGAAAAAGCCCAAATGTCCATGTACAGATGAATGGATAAGCAAATATGATCAATACACACAATGATATATTATTCAGCCTTAAAAAGGAAAGGCATTCTAATACATGCTACAACATAAACCTTGAAAAGATTAACACCAAAAAATGCAAATACTCTATGTTTTCCACTTTTATAGCGTACCTAGAGCAGTTAAATTCACAGACACAGAGAGTAGGATGTGGTTTCCAGGGAATGGGGGGAAGGGAAAGGGAAGCTATTGTTCCGTGGATACAGAGTTTCACTTTGGGGTGATGACAGGTTTGGAATGGATAGTGGTGATAGTTGCACAACAACGTATTTGTACTTAATGTACTTAAATTTTCTGTTATACATATTTTACCACAGTAAAAAAAATTAGCAAATATTTAAAAATCTACATATTTCTTTGAACTGTTTCTTTACATCCCTTGTCCATTTTTCAATTTGGCTGTTGGTCTTTTAATAATTTAGGATATATATATACATATATACACACACACACACACACACATATATATATATAAAAGCCCAAATTAGCTTTTTGTGTGTCATGTATGTTGCAGATCTATTTCCCCAGTCTGTTGACTTTTGACTTTGAGGCATTTTTCTCGCCTATAGAGTTTTAATTTTTATGGAGTCAAATGCATCAGAGTCTTCTAGTCAAAGACTTATTTATGGGTATGGTGTTTCAGTTTAGGATGATAAAGAAGTTGTAGATATGGATAAAACAGAGGTGTAAAAAGTTGTAGATATGGGAAAGCAGAGGTTGAAAAAGTCCATAAACTTGAGGTCAGTGTGAGACCTCCCGTCCCCTGCTCTGGAATCAGATGGAGGAAGGCACGCATGCAGGCTGAGTTCGGGGTCAGTGTGAGACCTCCCGTCCCCTACTCTGGAATCAGACAGAGGAAGGCACGCATGCAGGCTGAGCTGGAGAGATGAGCTGGGTGGCAGAACAGTCCTCCCATGACCCTAGACCTTAAGTGCTCCCACATGCTCTCAGGCATGTATCAAACCAAGAAAGCAGGCTAGGAGGGTAACACAGCTACCTGTGTACAGGGAGCTACGAAATACTTGAGCTGAGCAAATGACACACAAGGAGACAGAAGCAGTATGACTTTTACACAGTGACCTGGCTCAAATCATTTCAGGCTCTCATTAACCAGGCAAGCTCCACTTTC